TTAGGGTTTAGGGTTTAGGGTTTATGGTTTCGGGTTTAGGGTTTAGGGTTTAGGGTTTAGGGTTTAGGGTTTAGGGTTTAGGGTTTAGGGTTTAGGGTTTAGGGTTTAGGGTTTAGGGTTTAGGGTTTAGGGTTTAGGGTTTAGGGGTACTTATTAACCAATTATCTGTACTTATAACCCACTTATAAGCCCCACTAGTGCCCTAATATGGTTAAAAGCACAGTTATAAGTACAGTTATAATTGGTTCATAAGTACCATGACCCCTCCAAGTGGAGCTGCGGGCTCCATGGGCTTCTTTGAAATGGTTTGGGGTGGGGGGCGGGGGGGAAGGAGGGGAAGGAGGGGAAGGAGGGGAAGGAGGGGAAGGAGGGGAAGGAGGGGAAGGAGGGGAAGGAGGGGAAGGAGGGGAAGGAGGGGAAGGAGGGGAAGGAGGGGAAGGAGGGGAAGGAGGGGAAGGAGGGGAAGGAGGGGAAGGAGGGGAAGGAGGGGAAGGAGGGGAAGGAGGGGAAGGAGAAGGAAGGGAAGGAAGGAAGGGGGAAGGAGGGGAAGGGGGAAGGAGGGGAAGGAGGGGAAGGAGGGGAAGGAGGGGAAGGAGGGGAAGGAGGGGAAGGAGGGGAAGGAGGGGAAGGAGGGGTGGGGTTTAGGGTTTTGGGGTTTCGGATCTTTGGGTTTAGGGTTTTGGGGGTTTTGGGTTTTGGAAATTTGGGGGCTTTTGCGGCTTAGGGGTTTGTAGGGTGATAAGGTTTTACGGTTCAGGAGTTTGGGACTTAGGATTTAGGGTTCAGGGTGTCGGCGAGCCGAAAATAAAATTACTCTCTCAACCCTAAACCTTGAACCTGAAAGCTGCAACGTGAAACCCCGGAACATCCTCCGCCCTCAGCCCTAAAACCCAAACCCCAAACCCTAAACCCTAAACCCTAAACCCTAAGCCCTAAGCCCTGGACCCTGAAGCCGGGAAACCCGAAACCCCTAAACCCTAAACCCTAAACCCTAAACCCTAACCCTAAACCCTAAGCCCTAAAGCCGAAACCCGAAAACCCCTGACTGCAGCTGGGTGGTGCTCTTGGATGTGGCGAAGAGCGGGTCAGCAGGATTCACCTTCGGGCTGCGGTTCACCCAAGGAAGAAGGAATTCAGGGCCTTGGAGTTTAAGGTTTAGGGTTTAGGGTTTAGGGTTTAGGGGTTAGGGGTTAGGGTTTAGGGTTCAGTATTTAGGGTTGTTTAGGGTGAAGGGCTCCGAGGCAGGGGGGTGTTTGAGTGAGTTTAGGGCTTCTACGCGTATGTGTAGAGAGAACCCCTAAGCCCTAAACCCTGAGCCAAGTTGCAGGAGGCCCCGGCTGGGCGATGGTCACGGAGGAGTCCTTGAAGATACAGGAATCAAGGTTTAGGGGCTCGGGCTTAGGGGCTTTTAGGGTTTCGGGTTTAGGGTGTATGGGTCGGCCATGGATCTCAAAACAGAGGCCGCTCAACTCGAAGCACTCAACCCTCACCCTCAGCCCTAAACCCTAAAGCGCGCCCCCCCCCCCCCCCCAAAAAAAAAAAAAAAAAACAAGACTCTGCCAGCTTCAACCCGAGCTCGCAAAATGTGCAAGATTATATAAGCTCCTGGAGACATCTCAACACCCAACCCTTCACCCCAAAACCCTATAAACCCTATAAACCCGTAAGCACGAAACCCTTAAATCCCCTGAGCCCTAGAATGCTGAACCCTGACGCTTGGACCTTGCAAGGCTTAGGGAGGTGGGAGGTTGGGCCTCCAGGTGTCTGCCTGTTCCCGAGTTTAGGGCTCAAGGGGTGAAAAACATTGAGGGCTTGAGGGTTCTAGGATTTAAGGGCTTAGGGTTTCTTCCCTAAACCCTAAACCCTAAACCCCAGACCCCAAACCCTAAAGCCTAAAGCCTAAAGCCTAAAGCCGAAAACCTCCATCAAGAAGGTCTTCAGCACTGAAGCGCGCTCAGAGCGTCATAGGGAAACCAGCGCCCCAGCATCATCTTTTCCTGTCGGTCGCCATACCTGAGCTGTCCCCTGGACCCTAAACCCAAACAGGGTTTAGGGTTTAGGGTTTAGGGTTTAGGGTTTAGGGTTTAGGGTTTAGGGTTTAGGGTTTAGGGTTTAGGGTTTAGGGTGTAGGGTGTAGGGTGTAGGGATTAGGGCTGCAACTCCTGAACCCTAAACCCTACACCTGTAGTTCAACCCCAACCCATAAACTGAAATCCCAAAACCCAAGAGTTGCAGAGTGGGAAAGCAGAATGAGGGTTCGGGGGGATCTATGAATACGCTGCACAGCGATTGGTTAAGGACAGCCTCACCCTTTTCCTTTTGCAGGGTAGAGTTTCGGTATACCAAGCCGAAAGAGGGCTTCTGCAAGGCTCTAGTTCGTGCTTAAACCCCGGCAACCCTCCCAAACCCTAAACCCCAAACCCTAAACTGTCATATATTTGCGTCCCAGGCGTTCAAGAGACCCCCGCTTGGGCTCAGGCATGTCTCTGGGGCCTGGGGTTTAGGTTTCAGGTCTTAGGGTTAAGGGCGTAGGGCTTAAGGCTTAGGGTTTAGGGCCTTTAGGGTTTAGGATTTAGGGTTTAGGGCTTAGGATTTAGGGTTTAGGGCTTAGGATTTAGGGCTTAGGGTTTAGGGATCCAGCCCCGAACTTCTTCCCAAACCTTCCATCGCCGCCACGCGACAGGTACGCCTGGATCGTGCCCGGCACCTCAGCGTCCGCATTGGCGCTGAGGCAGCAGCCCATGCTCCCTTTTTGGAAGGCCGAGAAAACAGGCTACCACCGCCCCGCACCTAGAGCCTGCAGATGGGCGGCACAGAAGTAGAGGCAGTTGTGGGGCTGAGAGCAGCCTCAGAAATTACCTTAAAACAAGTTTCAGCAACTGCTCCAACAGGTGTGACAGAACTAGCAGTTCTCCATCCGTTTAAACCGTTATGAAGCCATGAACCTTATAAGACGGCGGGGGCGAAGGTGGAAGGCTCCGAGAACCCAGGAAATTCTCGACGATCCACTGCTTTCGGGTAGAACAACATGCCCGCGGATCTTTCATATGCAGCTTTCGGATGACTTCTGCTACCCCCACCAAACAAAAACTCTGAAGAAGAAAAGAAGCTTCGCATGTTCCGTAAAGCCCGAGATTGCTAAGCCACAACCTCTAACTTTGAAGTCTCCACCCCGAATCATAAAAACGCCCCAGAGAAACGTGCAGCGGACTGTGGACCTAACCCGCACGTGCCCTGAAGCATGTCCGCGAGCGAGCTTTCTTCGAAGGTGGTGGCTTCCGAATTCACCCCGCAGCAGGGGTTGCGTCGCTTTAGGCTTGCTTCCCGCAAGCGCTTGGACAGGATGCCTCGAATCCTTGTAGGTCCCCTGAACCCTAAACCCCAAACCCTAAACCCTAAACTCTAAACCCTTAAACCCTAACCAGCCGAAGCATCCGAACACAAAAAGGCAGCCGCCAAACCGGTCGTTATGACAGCGAGCGAGCTGAAAAACAAACTATGGTGGCTCAGTGGCTCCCGCCCGTCCTTCGGAGATGGATCTTGGGTCTTGGGTCTTGGGTCTAGGGTCTAGGGTCTAGGGTCTAGGGTCTAGGGTCTAGGGTCTAGGGTCTAGGGTTTAGGGTTTAGGGTTTGGGGCTGCAGTAGACGGCTATCAGCAGGAGATGGAGAGATGCTGCTGTTTACACACTCCCCCAGCTGCTAGCCCCTATAAGACTTCGACAGAGACCCTCCTTGGAAGTTCATGGTACTTATTAACCAATTATAACTGTACTTGCAACTGTACTTGTAACCAGATTAGGGCACTTAAGGGGCTTATAAGTGGGTTGTAAGTACAGTTATGATTGGTTAATAAGTACCCCTAAACCCTAAACCCTAAACCCTAAACCCTAAACCCTAAACCCTAAAACCTTAACCCTAAACCCTAAACCCTAAACCCTAAACCCTAAACCCTAAACCTTTCAAGTCGAAATCTCCAACACCCGCACGAAACTGCTGAAGAACAGAGGTGCAGAGCATCCAAGCTCACCCACCCGACGGTTAAGGGTTTAGGGTTTAGGGTTTTGGGTTTAGGGTTTAGGGTTCAGGGTTTGGGGTTTAGGGTTTAGGGTTTAGGGCTTACGACACCTCTCCGTCGGCCTGCCAGTGTGGCCGGCATAGCCTCCACAGCCTCCACCTTTCATGCTGGCATTTTGCTAGGCCCCTTAAGTGCCCTAATATGGATAGAGGTACAGTTTTAGTACAGTTATAACTGGCTAGTAAGTGCCCTAATATGGTTATACCTTAAGTGCCCGTTCAGGTTCCTAATTAACCAATTATAACTGTACTTATAGCCCACTTATAAGCCCCCCAAGTGCCCTAACATGGATAGAAGCCATAACAGGTTAAGAAGTGCCCTACATATGGTGATAAGTACACTTATAAGTACAGTTATAATTGCTTAATCAGTGCCATGAACCTCCCAAGTACAAGACATCTTCCAACAGATCCCTGGAGTCGCATGTCTTTAAACTTTGCTTCGCATGTCGGGTTGCCGGAACTCTTGTGGCTCCACACTCCACATCCGACAGTCTGGCTGGTTCTTAGTAGGGAATGAGGGAATTCGGGCCCTCCGCAATCCCTTAAAGGGTATGTATAGGGCCCTCATTCCCTCATTCCCTACTAAGGACCAGGGGGCAGCTGCAGGTCGAGACCTCACTGGCTTCAGGCTAGTATGGCAGCAATGTGATGTCAATCGCAGAGGATTCGGGAGCTTGGCTTCCGAGCACATTCCCGTGCTTGATGTGGCAGTGGCACTGCTCAGCTTGGTACAAAACCCTAAAGCCTAAACCCTAAACCCTAAACCCAGAGATTGCAGAGCCTCTGCCTCCGCAGCCGCACTTCATGAAGCTGGCATTTGGCGTTGAGGCGAGCTGTTTGGAGCCGCAATCTTTAAACTTTGCTTCGCATGTCGGATTGCAGGAACTCATGTGGTAGCTGCAGGTCCTGACCTCGATCGCTTCCTAAAAAGGCTGCAGGCTGGTCTTTATGATCATGTCACTAAGCTCCATGAAGCAGGAAGAGAGGCGCGATGGAGCAGTGGCACTGTTCGGCCTGAAAGTGAAATTTAGGGTTTAGGGTTTAGGGTTTAGGGTTTAGGGTTTAGGGTTTAGGGTTTAGGGTTTAGGGTTTAGGGTTTAGGGTTTAGGGTTTAGGGTTTAGGGTTTAGGGTTTAGGGTGAGGAGAGACTGCAGAGAGAGAGGGAGGCTCCTTCGGAGTCTCAGCACTTCATCGAAGCCGAAGCAGTCAGCAATATCCAATATCCAAGCATCGTTTCCATGCGGAAAGAGCATCAAGCGACGCGTCCACTTCCGGCATGGCCAGCACAACCTCATCCGAAAACACCACAAGAGCAACATCACCGGGACGATCTGCGCCACTCGCTCAAACGCGAGGATCAGGTTCTTGCAAACCGAGCTGTAGAAAGGCGCAAGCGAGGACGCGATGGATGACTGAGGCGCCGCACCGGGCCTAGCCACCCCCGACCGGATCCAGCTGTCGTAGGTCCACAAGTCCTCAACCTGCGCGGCCGTGTCGCGGGCTGTGGCGCCCAGCGTGGCCTTCCCTGTACGCACCATGTCCAAGTAGGTCATCACTGCGGTGCAAGTAGCCTCCGGGGTGCTGCCGGGGACCAGCTGCATCGGTGCCGTGTAGCACGTGTAGTCACCGCCAGGGAGGTCCTCCGCATGTCGCAAGTTTCGGCCACTGTGCAGGCACATGACAGGGCTGGCTGCTGGTGCTTTTGCCGCGATGGCGCAGCAAGCAATGAACAGGCATACCGCATTTCTTGTCATCCCCAACTGGGTCTTCATGTTGGCAAGATGCTCGGCAGAGATCACCACGGAACTCGCGGCAGCTCCAGTAGGTGGGCCAGCGGAAGGTGGCTGCCCCAGCCGGGACATAGCACTGCCTTGCCGCAAGAGCCATAAAAATGCTGCTGGGAGCCATCGGAGGACAGCAACCTCCCCAAGGACCCGTGCATCGTGGAATCTGTGGTTAATGGCGATAAGCAGCTCTTGTGACGACGGCTGGAGGCGACCGATCACCAGGTATTCGGCGTCCCGATGCGCTGAGTGGGTTCCCATCACAGGCCCCATGGCATTCAGGAGCGTCGCATCATCTGGAAGACGGACGACCACTGCTTTGTTGGCAAGTGACTGAAAGGTCTCTGTCAAACACTTGTCGGTCGCCTCCATATCCTGGCCTGTGTAGACAATCATCATCGATTGGTCATGCGAGATTCTGCAGCAGCACATCCTCACCATCGCTTGCCATATCCGCGGAATGCACCAGGGGCTGCGAAAACCAAGGGCTGCGAGCCGACTCGTTCTCTTCTTGCAAGCTTAAACCCTAAACCCCAAACCCTAAACCCTAAACCCTAAACCCTAAACCCTAAGCCCTAAACCCTAAACCCTAAACCCTAAACCCTAAACCCTAAACCCTAAAGAGCCAAAGTCATGCTGTTCTGTGGCTTCCTTTGTTATTTGCTCTCCTTGATAGATCGTCAGCCGTCTTGGGCTTCTGGATCCTACCCTGCAGTTCTCGCGGGCCCTAGCGCCAACATGCAGACACACAGAAACACAGGAACACGCTACTTAACTGAACCCTAGAGTAGGGCAAACGACCACAAAAGCTTCTGAAACCCTCAAGCCTACACCCTGCGCACCCCGAAAATTGGGATGTTCCCCCTTATACTAACAGTCCTTAATCGGGAATATAATAGGGGACCCCTATAAGGACTGCTAGTATAAGGGGGAACATCCCAACCCGAAACCCTTAAAACCTTGGGTCCAAGTCCTTCAACAACTCTAGAGCCGGAAAACCCGCAACCCCGACAAAAATCCGTAGAGGCTAAGCCCTGCAACCCTAAACCCTAAACCCTAAACCCTAAACCCTGAACCCTAAACCCTAAACCCTAAACCCTAAACCCTAAACCCTAAACCCTAAACCCTAAACCCTAACCCCCCCCCCCCAAAAAAAAAAAAAAAAAAACTGGCACCCCTAAACCCCCAACATCCGAAAGCCTCGAACCTCAAAGAAGCCCCTCAAACCCCGTAAGCCCTACAATGCCCTAAGCCCCACAAAGCTGCCCCAGAACACGCAGCTGCAAAATATCCGGAAAACCCTAAAACCCCTACCGTGACACCTTTACCTCCCCTAAACCCAAAACCTCCTAAAGCCCCCCAAATTAAACCCGATACATCCCTTCCTAAACCCCATAAACCCACATCCCTCTCCTATGAATGGGGGGACACCCTATGACCGCTATAAACCCTACAAACGCTATGAACCCTATATACGCTATAAACCCTCTCAACCCCAAAACCCTATAAACCCTATTAACCCTTCAAACCCTATAAACCCTCTAAACCCCTAGAAATAAACTTGGAACTCCGGGGGTCAGGCCGAACTCGGCCGGCGAGGGAGGAAGCGAAGCGTCAACGCCTGGAGTGGTTGGGGGCCGTGCGTGGGTGCCTTGTCAGGGAACTGTGGGCTGGTCTCCCTTCATGCTGGTTTAGGGTTTAGGGTTTAGGGTTTAGGGTTTAGGGTTTAGGGTTTAGGGTTTAGGGTTTAGGGTTTAGGGTTTAGGGTTTAGGGTTTAGGGTTTAGGGTTTAGGGTTTAGGGTTTAGGGTTTAGGGTCGAGGGTTTAGGGTTTAGGGTTTAGGGTTTAGGGTTTAGGGTCGAGGGTTTAGGGTTTCTGCTGGCCTCGTCCTTTGTTTCCTTCCTTCCCTCCGTTCACGCAGCACGGGGCTTCGCTGGCCCTGTCTCCCTTTGTCTCCCTCTTTGGCCGGATGCCTGGCTGGGTTTCGAATGGCCTCGTCTGCCTTTGTCTCCGTCCTAAACCCTAAACCCTAAACCCTACACCCCAAACCCTAAACCCTAAACCCTAATCCCTGTCATGCTGGATGGCGGGCCGGGTTTCTACTGGCCTGGTCTCCGT